AGGAGACGGGAGGAGAGAAGTCCAGTCAGGAAGGAGGGGCCAAGATCATGAGGGGCCTCACGGTAGGCAAAGGGGCCTAACATACTACTTGTATTCCAGGCACCATCAGTGAGCTAGCCCCATGCAGAGTGGGGGGAAGCAGGGGCAGTGGGGGTGTGGGGTGCCAGGAGGAACAGAATCTTTGATGACATGATCACCAGACATGAAGAGGGACCCAGAGGCAGGGAGCATGCAGGATGAGGCTCTCAAACCACAGTTCAGCCTGTTCCCCCTTCCTGGTTCCCCATCTCAGAAGCAGCATCTGTAGTTATCGTTCAGCCAGCATGCTTCCAGGGAGCAAGTTATCCCCCTGAGCACCCCAAGGATGTGGCTCACAAACTTCCTGCCCACATCTCCCCACCTCCTCACTCACTCCAGCGGTGGCAGGCAGACGGTGGCTGGGAGGTGGTTCCTGAAGATTCTCCACATCAAATCCACTTCATACAAAACTGAAAACAGAAGCTTATAAAGAGGTCTATGCTAATTGAAAGACCAGCAGATAAGAAACCACCTAACATAAGAAGCAACTGGAAGATTTGTGCACCTGGGCTCCTACCCACACAGAAAATATCTTGAAGAAGATACAAGACACTAGCAACAAAGCTTGTCCACTGGAAGCAGGTACTGGGAAAAAGAGGATTTAGCATGGACAGAGATTTCCATTTTGCACCTTTGTCTCATGAATTTGTACAAAGTGCACACACACCTTTCATCAATAAAAATAAATGCAAAACCAGCAAACTACACAAAGGATCATTCTATGAGCAGAAGGTAAGCTGTGTGTTAAGAGTGATTGTTTTTGGCTCATAGAAATCTGTAGGGACGTGGGCACAAGAGACTAGGGTCTCACATCCCTCATTTTCTAACAGAGGTGGGGGCATGAAGGGAGAAACCGTGGTGAAGAAAACACAGCTTGATGGATAAAACTGTGTGGGCCTGGGTATGACTACACCTGGAAGAAGAGTTATCCACATGGAAATCTGGGACAAAATGAGCTTGGCACACAGCCACATATTCCAGTCCTGAGGAGAAACTGGGGCACCTGAGAAAGCGGGGCTAAGGCCAGAGCAGGCCCAACCTCTGAAGCCATCGTAACCATTTAGATGTTACTCCAAGGGCACTGAAAGCCACTGGAAGGTCTTGAGACTTCTCCAGTTCACAGTGTGTTAGTTGAGAGAATACCTAAGAAAATTCCCAGACATATTTTGCTGATTTTATAGAAGAGTTTGTTTCATTTTATCCATCTCTCAACCTCTTAGCCGCACAATTTAAAAATAACTACCCACATTTTACCATTCCTCAAGGACAAGTTTACACCAAAATCAAATATTTTTTAAAACCCACAAATAAAAAGAAAATCACCCCTTTCAGAATTTTTTCTAATTCTTCAATCTATTGATTCACTACATTTTTGAGCAAGCTTTTTCTGAGAAGACCTTGGTTTGGAGCAACTTTTTTTTTTTTAATGGAGCTGTGTCACATAGGAAAAGTTTTCCTTGGAGAATGTGTCAAATATATCTTCATTTCCCACAGAACATGTATTGAGTGCCTAAAAATTAACTTGTGCTCATTCATACCTCAAGAAAGAGTCAGAAGGCATTTTCCTAAATCATTCTGACAAAGACGTCAATTATGTCAGAACTCTTGAGTTTTGAAACAGAAATTCTGTTCATTTACTCGCCTTATCATTAAAAGAGACTTTCTTTAAAGGTTTGTTCATAACAGGATTGCCATTTTCCATGCTGCCTACTGATTATAAACAGAACCAATTTTAAAACCATATATAGGGCTCTCTTAAAAATATTCAAGATGTATTACCATATGGTTTATATCAGCATTTTTAACAGGTCCAAAATCTCTATATGCCAAAGTATTATCAAAAATAGTTCATATCCTTTTTCAAAGCACATATTCCTTTCAAGACACTCTCAAGTCATAAACTTTGAAAGCTCACCCAATTTTTCAACCATAGTTACATACATAATTGATTTATCAGATAATTTGGTGATACTGACTAAAGCTTGTTTTATCATTGGATCTTTCAGAAACTGCTAATTTGAAAAAATACAGCATATCTGATTACCTGGAAGTTCATAAGAGGTGAAGGGTAATGGTCTTTATTTGCGATGTACAAATTATGTAAAAATATGCATCTTTCCAGGTGACTGAGAAGAAGAGCTGTAGGAAAAATGGAAATTTCGTAGCCAGGATTCTCACCTGATCCTCATACTGTGTATGTGCCTAGTACACCTGTGGGCAGTAAGCCATTACTGCTGGTATTGACATAAGGAGAGCTCCACCCAGTCCTAAAAGCAGAGGGAAGCAGGAGAGCAGAGCCTAGAGAAGAAAGCAAGAGGACAAGAGAGAAAGGGGCAGAGAGGCTGGGAGGAGAGACTGGGGAGCCTGGAGTGGAGGCAATGTCTGGGGCAGAGGCTGGAGGCAGGGACAGAGACTGAAATGGGCCTGCTGCATGTAGACACTCTGGTGACCTCATGAGAATAAAGCTTGGTATGAGCCCCCTTTTACCCACAACGTTCCATTGTCGTTATTCCATCTCACTGCATCCAGAGTGAACTTGCCCAAAGCTGGGAACTGCCGCCACCCAGAACTACAAGAGGTGTCCCTGAAACGTACATACTCCATCACCTTTATTTTCAATCACAAAAGTCAGAGCACAATTTCTTCAGAAGATGCTAAGCTAAGACTCAGCATCCACGATTAAATAGAAAAATGGCAGGTGAGAAGGTGAAGATAGGAATTCCAACCGATGTCAGTAGATGCAGCTTTAGGCTGCTGCCCTTATGAGAAAATGGCCATAGGGACAATCCAGTTGTCTCAAAAACATTTCAATTGTTTATAAGATAAATGAGACCTAAGCCTGGTATCTAAACAAACCAGATGAAATTTATCTTTTTCTAAGAAATATTTTCCTTCCACTTAACCAAAAAAAAAACAGAAATTTTTAAAAATCCCAGCTCATTCATTTAACAATCTCAAGTACTGACTGATTCCATACAAGGATAGATGCTCTTCCTGCCCCAAAAGAGTTTACCATCCAGCAGTGGCAAGAAAACATGATAATTACAGCCTACTTCTCTTCATTATTATCACCCCATCACCACCCCCCTCCCTTTTACCCTCCTCCCACCCCCACCGCTGCTACACACACACAATAAAGCTGCTTTATATAGTTAAAGCAAGAAAAAATACAGTTAATCTACATTTGGTTTAACTAAACCAAAACAAGTTGAAAGCAACTCAGAAACAAATTGAATGTACTATAGAAAATAACACAGATCATCCACATATGCAAATGCCAACATTTTATAGGCAAGAAGTTAGAGGATTTAAATTAAATATGTTACAATAAGGGAGTAAAATCATTCCAAAAAGAAAAAGACAGCCCTTTTCACAAATCAACATTCTAATTCCACATGCATTATGCAACAGTCTTTTCCTATTAAAGGAAATAGAACAAAATTTTCAAGATAACCCAACAGATCAGGCACAACATATAAAACCAAAATTTCCACATAGTTTTTCCCTATTATGTGATTAAGTACATCAAATGCAGTATTATTCTCCCAAAGGAAAGGCCTGCTCAATATTTTTTCACATTCAGGTCCTCATTCAAACACCCACATGATAAAGTCGTAACAGCTCTATTAGGCACACAGACATGTCTGAGTAACTATTATTCTGTTTGTAAATCACCTCTCTTCATTCCATTCCTCATCCTTTACATATGTTAATTTTGGCATCTGACCCAGAGCCCACCATCAGCCACCATAACCCAATCTTCCTCCAGGGACATCAGTCGACATTGTTATTCTTATTTCAGCAATAAAAAAGAAGAGGAAGGAGTAGCTATTTTCAGGAATCAAAATTCCTCTTGATTAGATTTCTGGCTCACTGGTAAATGTTGATATCCTGAAATGCATTACCCTCTGCTTCTGGTTGGCTTTTTTTAGAGCCAAGATATGGCACAGTGTTTCCAATATGAATTGCTTCAAGTAATATATGTCTGGTTTTGCAGGGAGTATTTGGTCAAATTCCATTATTCTCTCTTGGGAACCAACACTAACTCCCAGCATCAGATCTAAGTGTGCAGAATAGAATTTTAAACACACAAAGAGCAGAATCTTCTAGGGAACACAGTCCTTTTTTCTCCTATTCTGAGAGATGTCATGAGACATCTTGCATGATACTTAGCACTCAGAATATAGATCTATTAAGCTAAGAAATTAATCACGAAATGTACAAAATACATTCTTCTTTTCCCAGCATAAAATTTTTTTAAAAGTGGTTTCTACTTTAAAAATGGCTGAGCTAAAGCTGAATGTCATTGCTTAAGCCTGTAAATCATTGCATGATTAATAAGAATAAACAGCACATGAACATTTCTCTAGGCTATAAATGTTAGCTGAGAAAATGTTTGTCATTGAACTTCCTAACACCCAAACAGGATTCTCCATAGGCAGAAAGTAGAGGATTACCCATAGGCAGAAAGATTTCAATTATCTTACTATTTCTTAATTATAATCAATGTTTCCTATGGCCACTGAAAATGAGAGGGGATCCTCCCACTTTTCTTTCATTAAAATGTGCACATGATTTTAACCTCAACCTTACACAGGCATAATTGCGGGAAGAAAGAGGATGCACTGCAATATTGTACTCATCAGACTGTATTAGGCTCAAAAGAAGAATCTCAAGGATCTGTATTTGTCACATCAGCCCAAGATGAAGGCATCCACCAAGAGAATATTTTCACTATTCAGCTGGCAGCCAGAATCTACTTCCACAAATCCACATACAGGATTATGAGCACCAACGCTCTCAGTTCACTCTCCATTTCTGCTGAACCACTCTTGCCTTTGCAGAGGAGAGAAGCCATTTTACTAATTTATAAGTACCTTGACTTTCCAACCATCTTAAAAAAATATACTCATCAATAATAGTCAACTAAAAGCAAAAGCACATCCCACAGGAATGAGAGTAAAGCAGACAACAGCGGCCCGTATTGATCGTCCAGATTCAGGATACTCACTAAAGGCAGCCACAGCCAGGGCCAGGGTGACAATAATGGAGAACCAGGAGACCCACAATGCCTTCTTCCTGTAGTTCTGGGCTTCATGAGGTTTTAGTCGAGTGCTGCTTTCTAGTAAGCCTGACAAAAACAAGGAGAAAAGGAAGTTAGACATTTCCTTATTAAGAAACCCACAGCCAGAGCTACACTTTCTTATCCATGGACTGCAAACTGACAGCCCAAGGGCCAAGATGTGCTGTGTTTGGCCCACACTGTGTTTTAACAATTAGGAGAGTCTACATGGAAATTCGGCTTTTTGGCATCTCTTGAAAAATCAGACTCCAGCAACATGGGGCATGTGTCCCTGGAGGGCAACAGCAGCTATCCTCGTTAGAAAGACCCTGCAAACTCACTGCTCCTTCACCTGCCATCCCCCTGCCCACATGTAAACTCACTGGGTTCATATCAATGCTGCTCTAACAAGGGCCTTCCTCGGGAAAACAGCACAAATAACCCACATTCAGTTGGGCATTTGGGCTCCCCAGCTGTGGGCACTGATTTGCATTGCGCCACCAGCCCAGCCCCAACTGGTACACTGGATTTTGCCCAAAGCAGTGAGTCATGGCATACAAATGCCCTCATTGCTCCCTTGTACAATTAACAAGGGGAGAAGGACCATTTCTCTTTAATTACACCCAAAACAGCCACCAAGCTGAAATTTTATGCCATGTTTTTCTTCCTTCCTTTTTCTGTTCTACAGTATCTATCCCTTTATACCAACATGAATCAAAAATTTCTCTGAGTATTAAAGCGGGGTAAACCTGCTAAAACTGGAGGCAGCTTCCTCAGCAAGTCCTATGTAAGAAAGGTTTGATTTCGTCTCCTATGATTTCAACATTGGGTCCTTAACAACAAAAATTCAAGATTCAAGGCAATACCCAAGCTTCAAATGCCTTGAGTCAAAGACTAAAATATCTTCAATATGACCCTGATTTATATTTTTTTCTTCTCCTTTGACAAAAGATGATATATGGCATCTCTTCATTGCACAGAGAACCAATTCGCAGTCATGCATTCTACGTAAACAAGAGCTTATGACACCATCTCTGGCTAAACAACCCACAATATACCTTTCAGAGGTGCAGCAGCCTCATCACAACAACTCCAAATGATGAATAAATTGGGAGTAAAAGCTTAAGCACCCATTTGTAAAATACCACACAGTATGCAAGAAATTACATCTATGCAACATGTAAAAGACATCATCCCATTTGACTGGGCACCACACTAAGCTCCTCATTGCCAAAAACTGCATCGTGCTCAAAAGTTTAATAAGGAGCCTGTTGAAACGTCTCAGTTCCATTTACTACCCAGACTCAAGCACCCTGAACAAGTCCTGAGCAAAGCAAGAGGAAACATCAAGAAGGCTGCTTAGTGAGGCAAGTTTACTGCCAAAGATTTTTAAGTAATCAAAACCTGTAGACGTACATAGGGTCAAAAGGTAAATGAGATTGCAAAAGGTAGGTATGAACACCATCTCCATCATCTCACTGTAAAAATCTCTCCATAACTTCCTTAACAAATGCCCATGGATGGAAGAAAGAAAAAAACCTTCTTCTTGTGAAATTCTATCCTAGGTACAAGCAATTGCAAATTAAAATCTACTTGTTTTTGTCCCTTTGTCTACTTCTTCCCTAGCTCCCAAAAACACCCCATTCTAATTTTCAACTATGATCACCCGTGTCTCCAATTAAAGCCACAACCTAGTATGAGGAGGTCCCACACACTTCCAGTAATTTATGTCTCTTTTCCCAAGTAATATAAAAATTTTCCTTCACCCTGGACTAATTTTCAAGAAGGGAAGCCATAACATTTAAGTACTGACTCAAATAGGCAGTTCATTTACTGGGTATTTTGACAGCAACAATCTCAAGAGGTTTGGCCACTGAGGGTTAAAAACAAAGTTCATTTTAGAAGTAGATTTAATTTTCAAAAAGAAACAACAATGATCTGGGTTTTTCTATTCAGCCACATGACATTTATTTTTCCTTCCAGAGCCAGCTGTTTCCAACAATATGGCTGGCCCTGGTCACACAGATGCACCTACACGCCTCCCCCCAGGGGGCCAGTCCTCCCACGGAGGAATGTGGGAGGTCAGCTCACGCGGGCTGGACTGCCCTTCTAAGGGGACATCTAGGTCCTCATAGCAGCAGGACTGGGGGTTCTTCCCCAGATCTGATCCTGTGTGTGCCTCCCTCAGAGATGTTTCATATTAATTTTTTAAATCCAGTAAATGAAATGAGAACACTGTCCAGGAAGGAGGAACCTTTCCATTTCTATCCAACCTTTGCTTATTTCCCACTGATTTTCCTTTCTGAAAATATTGCCAGTAACAAGGAAGGAAAACTTCCCATTCCCCAAAGGAAAGTGGAGTATGAAGACCTACATAGACCAGCTTGTAGGAAGGAACAGTCGGCACACAGGTGCCTATACCGGCCGCATGCGCACTCACAAGCCATGGAGCTATGGTGAGAATTCCCCCGTTTTCAAAGCAAGCTGTGCTTCAAACAGAAGAAAGGCAGCACAGCCTAGGGAAAATAAGGCAGGCCTTAGATCTGCATGCAGGGCTGGGTCCTCGATACCCATAGTTGGTCCCCATGGTCAAATATCTAATCTTACTCAAATGTCACATATTTGTAATCTGGGCCTGGCAATACCTGGGACTGGGACTTATATCTTATTATTCGGGTGAGGAGGAATGGAAATATTACGGGGAAGTTGAAGCCATCAGTCACTTCATGCTAGTGTAAATTAGTTCTAACTGCTTTCTCTCAAAAATTAGTCATGTGTGGATCCCCTGAAGGAAAAGGAATATTAATTAGATGGAAAGGTGGTAGGACATGCTGAACCATGTAAGACTCTAAAGCTAGGCTGGATGCTAATGCTTGGGGCAGGATGATAGAAAAATACTTGTGGAAAGGAGAGTGGGTGTTAAAAGGGAGGGGTAGAGACAAATTTGGCCTATTTTTTGTGTAGTTAGTCCCTAAAGGTCTGGGACCATAGCACTCTTGCTCCCAGTACTACAAGGCTCAGCCAAATGAAACTGCAAGGTACTGACACTGTAAGCTAGCTACGTTCTGGGAATTAACCCACATCACCTCTAAGGAAAAATACCTCTAGAGTCCCAAAACACTAGGTTATAAAGCAAGCCTTTCACTGGAGTTAGATGAAGTTTGTAACTGGGTCCTGATAGCTTAGGAGGTTAAGACAAGAAAGGACAAACATAGGTCTACATCCAGGGTACGCATCCTCCACACTCTCACAGGTATTCCGACTTCGAAGTCACAAGCCAGGCAGGATGGAGAGATGTGGATCAGGCAGCTGCTGAGCTTCCCTCCTCCCCAGATCCTCTCACCATTAGGAAAAAGGTAGCAGCAATCGAAACGTTCCCAAGAAATACAAAAATCGATATTGGAAAGATGTAGCCCCATAAAAAAAGTAACACAAACAAAATATTAAAATAAACCTTCCCAGGTAACCTTCTGATTTAATAAAAATGACTCATTCATTATTAACTCTTCACTGTCAAGAACGTGTCACACAAAATAATGTCACACTGACTTTCAGCTTTCAACGCCACACAGCACAAGGTTCTTTGGGGAACAGGGCTCATCCTAACAGAGAGGCTGTGTGTATGCAGCGCTTTCACACAGTGACAGTTTATGAACAGTGAATGCTTTCATGCTATCACATAATGGAAAATGAAATTCAGTTGACCAGTGAAAAATAACCTTAAGAATTAATTCAGAAGGGCTTTTTACACTTGAGCAAGAGCAGCAAAATGATGCTAGATGTTAACTCGCCCTAGCATTTTTTTTCCCTCCTATTATTTTGGGGGATGGGGAGAAATAGGCCAGCTTTTACAGATGACCTGCAATGCTACAAAAATAAAGCTCTGCCCAGAGTTCTTTCTTCAATACAAAAATGTTAAATCCTACAATATTTTAAATGCAATGTAAAAGGGTAATTAACACAACCTATAACAAAACTGAAAGGTTTTGTTGGGGACTTGTGATGTCACCAATCATCAGCTTTACAATGATATCTAATTATGTGAAAAATAGTGAGAGGAACTGCAACATAGGTGCAGAACTTGGTGCAACTGGAGCGGCTCAAGTTCACCCCAGCATCTCCATGGATTCTCTGGGAATTGCCGTTTCCATGTCATTCTATTTCACATGCTACAGTTCAGAATTTCTAAGCGGAAAAGAGTATATTCGAACACTAAGCTGACATAAAAATGTACAGGAGATACTAAGAATAGGACAGAAACTGCTAAGACTAAAATATAAAAATCCACCACAGCCAACAAAATAAGGCTTCCAAGAAAAGGGGGTGTTGGTGGCGATGAGCCGGCTCCCCCCAAGGGCCTGGCTGCAAGAAACCCGCTTCGGCCACTAACAGGTTTTAGCAGAGCCAGTGAGTCTTTTGGAGGGGGCCAATTTGGACTTGAATTCAGCAAGACACAGGAAAGGTATAGCGGTGCCCAAAAATAGGGTCTGCCGAACAGAAAAGAAATGAGGGTCGTAGGAGGAGAGAGACATGAGAATGTAGAGGGGAATCTCTTCGGTATCATTCGGGCAACTCAACGGGGGACGGGGAGAGCGGCTGTGTCGGAAGGTAGAGACTGGCGTCCCAGAAAGGGTCGTTTGGGGGCTTCCAGGCCAGTGTCTTGGGAGGGATTCTGAAGGGGCTGGGACGCGTGCTCTGGGAACCACCCGGTCCCAGTGGCATTCGTCCAGAAGAGGCTGGTGGCCCAAACCCAAGTGTTTCCCAGTCGTCTGCCCCGTCACCAGACAGCGAGGCAGCGGCTCACGGTAACCTGTGTCCCGCTGACTCCCCGTCTCCGGGGCGGGCACACCGGCGGCCACCGAGCGACTCCATGAGGCTAAGCCCGCAACGGGAGGCTCCCCCGGGGAGCCGGCGAGGGTCGAAAGAGACTCAGTAAGGAGGGTGCACCGAGCTCACGTTCCTGCCAGTTGACCGGGGCTCGCAATCCCCCGGGAGCACTCGACTCCAAAGCGAAAAACGCCTCCCGCAAACTTTTCCGGTGGGCGCTAGAGGGGCTGGGCCTTGGGCTGGCGGGCGGAGGGCAGCCCTGTTCTCGGGTTCCGGGGAAGGAGCGCCGGTAGCGGGAGGTGGGGGCTGCAGCCCTCGGCTCCCGGCGCCCTCGCGGGTAAGTCCCGGCTCCGCGCGCCCCGCCAACCAGCGAGCGGCGGCTCCTCCCCGCGCCCGCCGGACAGGGAAAAGGGGCCGGCCCGGGAGAGCGCGCTCTCACCTCGATCCTCCAGCCCGTCGCCGAACTGGCCGCTCTCGCTGATCCGCAGCTGCCGCTCCTCCGCGGGCTGCGGCTGCTCGCGCGCCGAGGAGCTCAGCGGGCCCGGGCTGGGGGCGGCGGCCGCCGAGGGCGCGTGGCCCCGGGGCGGCGCCGGGACGGCGGGGCCCGGGGAGCTGCGGCGCTCGCTGCCCGCGGCCGGCTCCATGGCGCGGGCGGCGGATCCCGGCGGCGGCGACGAGCGCAGCGCGGACTCGACTCAGAAGTGCGAGGCGTCGCGGCTCGCAGCGGGCGGAGGGACGGACGGACGGCGCGCAGAGGACGGGCGGGCACCGCGGGGTGGAGGTGCGCCGGCTGCAGAGGGGGCGGGAGTGCGGAGGAGCCGTGAGACTCGCGCGGCCGGTGGCAGGGGCTGGGGCCGCGTCGCCGCCGCCGCGCTCCGCCCACGAGGGCAGGTGCGGGCGGCAGGGACCCGCCCCGAGGCGCCGAGGCCGGTGGGGAAGGAGGGTATCGGCCGGGCCAGGGGCTCCGAAGCGCGGAGACCAGCAGGCGGCTCGGGCAGGGCCTGGTGAGGGTGTGACGGGAGACGTGCCCCACCCGCACGGCGGGATTGTGCTCAGAGGAGACCCTCTCGGACCCGGTCCCTCTGCTGTCCGGGAAGCCAGCGGCCGGGCTCGGGCAGGAGAGCGGAAAGCGCCATAATTTGGCACCCTTCTCCTCTGGAGCCGCACGGGTTTGCGGCTGCCCATCCTCGCTGCCCAGGGAAGACGAGGTTCGCTGCCCACAAGCCCATCCGGCCCCGGCCTTGTAAGAGCTTCGATTCCCCTCTCTCTCGCTCTAACTTACACGGACCAGGTGCCCAGGGGACCACTGGGCTCTCCAGAAGATGTCCGGACCCAAGGCCTCCCCATTACTACTCTCGCTGGGCCTTTGTCCTAGCCAGTCCCCCACCAGCTCGCTCTTTCCCCCATGAGTATTCAAGTCCTGCGGGTTCTTTAGGACTCGGATGGAACGGGCCCTCCTACGGAAAGCCTCCCCTGGCTGTGCTGGCGCGGCCGACTTGTCCCCTCTGACCGGCGGGAGCTCGCACCTGCCGAGACCACGACCACGTCCGCCCCACGCCCTCTCTCCCGTAGCCCCGAAGGTGCAGAGGGGGCCCAGCCATTTATCAGATTCAGCTTGAATTAAATGGTATCAATATACAAACTCTGTAATCTAGATTTCATCTTTAGATAGATATCTGTCTTTTAATTTAATAAATCCTCTAAAATGCTAATTCCTCATTTAAAGCCTGACTAATGTGGGGGGAGGGCGCCCTGTTGTTTTGAAGACAGATCAGTTTCTTCTCATTCTCGCTTTGCCTGCGATGGAAATAGGAGTGGGATTTAAATGCTTTTGTGGTGCGGTGGTAACATCACCAAAGGAGGAAGGTCTTGTTTTATTTTGTGTTGTTGGGTCAGAATGAGAAGATCCCAGTTGACCTTGGCCAACTCACTTTACCTTTTTGACCTCTAATTTCTATACAAAATGAAAGAATTGGAGTAGTTCATTTCAAAGGCCATTTCTTACTAGGAAAAGAAACAGGGAGGGAGGGAAATAAAAAGTACTAAAAGAAAGAAAAACGCTGTTTTGGATACAAAACAATGAAAACATCTACTCACCAATCCTGGTTCTGTCCTCTAAGGCAGACAATGCTGCAGATAACTTACACACACACCTCGTGGCCCTGGTTCTGTCCTCTAAGGCAATGCTGCAGATAACTTGCACACACACACACACACGCACCTCGTGGCCCTGGTTCTGTCCTCTAAGGCAGACAATGCTGCAGATCACTTGCACACACACACACCTCGTGGCTCTATTCCACGCTTTTTCCCTCCAGGTTATGCCGTTTGATCTCTCTTGTCAATGGCTTTCAAACATTAGAATCACCTGGGGAGTTTAAGCACAAAACTCCCACCGCTAGCGATCCCACCGCTAGAGAGCTCTGATAGAAGTGATGAAACGGGTCTGGTCTGGGACGTAGGCCTCGGTATTTTTTTAAGTTCCTTCCCCATTCTAAGAGCCCTGGTCAGCTTTTATTAGTTTGCTTGTTTATTTATTAAAGTGCTGATGAGATTCTGATTCAGTAGGTTCTGGGGTCGGGCTAGGAATCCTCATTTGAATCACACACACCAGAGATTCTGATGTGAATTGTTACAGGACCGCCTTTGTGATTCTCCCTACCTAACTACCCTCCACAGGGTGGGCCTTCAAGCTCTGCCCCCTACACGCGCCGCAGGTCTGTGTCTCTCAGAGAAGCAAGTATCAATTTTCTTCCCTCTGGTTCCTCAATCGTTTTTCTAGTCCAGCGCATTTCAAATGTGAATATGCAGCCAGGTAGAGAAAGACAAATACCATATGATTTTACTTACGTGCAGAATCTTAAGAACAATACACATGAACAGAACAGAAATAGACTCAGATACGCAGAGAACAGATTGGTGATTGCCACGGGGGAGAGAGTAGGGGGATGGGCAAAGTAGGGTAAAGAGGTACAATCGTCTAGTTATAAATCAATTAATCATGGGATAAAAGCACAGCATAGCGAATATAGTCAATAATATTGTAATATCTTTTTGTGAAGAGATGGTAATACACTTGTGGTGAGCACTGAGTAATGTATATAATTGTCAAATCACTATGTTGTGCACCTGAAACCAATTTATTGTATAGCAACCTATACCTCAATAAAAAAAGAAACAAATTATGCAGATGAACCCTGGGATTCTTGTCCAAACTGCAGATTCTAACTCAGTTGGTCTGGAGTAGAGGCCGAGATTTCTAACAAACCTCCAGGTGCTGCTGAGGTTGCTGACTTGAAAACCACAGAAGTAAGGCTCTAGGAGTTATTTATTATTCATGCAATAAATATAATTTCCTTCAAGTTCCAGCTGCCCTGGGTCAATAAGCCATTCTGCCTCCTCAAGGAAGATTTCTCTCTCTCTGGCTCCCCGGGGCATCCTTTTTGTGAACTCTGAGTATTTAATAATTCACTGTATATTTCATGGGTGAGGCAAGGATTGTGGTGCTTGCCTGACCCTCATTTTCACTCCTCCGCATCTACCTAGACGCCAAGGACACCAAGTTCCCTGGTGATCTCTGCTGATTGACTGGGAGATGGTATTAGCTTACATTCTTGGAGGACATGAATGTGGCCAGGCACCTTGCTAAGGGTTTTTTACATACATAGTCCATCACTCAAATACTGCTATCATTGTACAAAGAAATCAAGGCCAGCACCCGTTAAGTTCTGTCTAGCGTCACCGCCCACAGCGGTACCGCCCCCTAGGGGTTCTTTTGGAAATTTATAGGTGCTTTATTTGGTTATTGCAGAGATAGGAGGGGGCAGCTGGCTTTTAATGGGGGATGGCCAAGGATGCAGGAGGCCCTGACATGAGCAGACCTTCACATCACAATGAGGATTTTGTGGCCCACTTAGCTTTCGATGTCGGACTGGTCATTTGGGGCAGTTAAAACGTGCTTCTAATTACTAGAATTCTAAGTCTGTTTTACATATAAATACAAAATATTTTTGCACCACACTGAATTGTATGTAAATAAGTCTAACAACTACTGTACAATAAGTCCAGAAAAAAATTGTACTCTTTTCACTGTTTTGGAAAATCAGAACACTGAAGCCAGTACCACTCATGGCATTTGAGTCAGCAGTCAACACATCTGTGCCAGTCAAATGTATATCTGCCACAGACCCAGTAATTCCACATTTGTATATGAATATTTTTATTTAGCTCTTATTTCAAAATGTCAAAAATAAAGAAAAAAGTGTCAACAATATTCCAGAGCCTTATCTTACTACTTTTAAATTATAAGTGGGCACAAATATTTAACTACTTTTTGACTTCTGATGCAGTTCTGATTGAGCATTTAGAAAAGCAAAGACATATTAAATATTTATAGCTTTACTTTCACTCTTTCAAAATTAAATAATTACCCTGATGTTTATGTGATACTATCTATGGATGCCATTTAATGATCACAGCAGCAAATAATATAAAATAATTATTATAAACAGGAAGCCTTAACTGTCACAGCCAAGAGAAGCCTATGAAGACACAATAACTAAATGTAACCTGTATCCTGGATGGATTTTGAAACAGAAAAAGGATATTAGGTAGCGAGGATGCAGAGAAAGGGGAACCCTCCTACACCATTGGTGAGAATGTAAGCTAGTTCAACCATTGTGGAAAGCAGTATGGAGGTTCCTCAAAAAACTAAAAATAGAAATACCATTTAACCCGAGAATCCCACTCCTAGGAATTTACCCAAAGAATACAAGTTCTTAGATTCAAAAATACATATGCACCCCTATGTTTATCACAGCACTATTTACAATAGCCAAGATATGGAAGCAACCTAAGTATCCATTAGTAGATGAGTGGATAAAGAAGAGGTGGTACATATACACAATGGAATACTATTCAGCCATAAGAAAGAAACAAATCCTACCATTTGCAACAACATGCATGGAGCTAGAGGATATTTGCTCAGTGAAATAAGTCAGGTGGAGAAAGACAAATACCAAATGATTTCCCTCATTTGTGGAGTATAACAATGAAGCAAAACTGAAGGAAAAAACTGCAGCACACTCCAAGAAGGGACTAGAGGTTACCAAAGGAAAGGGGTGTGGGAGGGCAGGTGGGGAGGGAAGGAGAAGGAGATTGAGAGGCATTATGTTTAGTACACATGGTGTGGGGGGTCACAGGGAAGACAGTGCGGCACAGAGAAGGCAAATAGTGAATCTGTGGTATCTTACTACACTGATGGACAGTGACTGCAATGGGGTATGGGTGGGGACTTGGTGATATGGGTAAATGAAGTGACCACATTCTTTTTTCATGTGAAACCTTCAAAAGAGTGTATATCAATAATACCTGTGGGTAAAATGAGAGTTCCTGTGGCCAGGATTCTCACCTGTCCCTGGTTGACTAGCTTACTGCACACCTGTGGTCAATACATGACTGTTGACTCTATAAAGGGCTCTGCCCAATGCTCTGGGCGCGACATGGTGGCAGGGCTGCAAAGCTGCAGGAGAGCAGAGCAAAGGCTAGAGTGGCAGCGGCGCCGAGGACAGAGGCCCAGAGGCAGAGACTGGCTTGCTGCATGCAGACTCGCTCTGAGTGAATGAGATTTTAGTGACTGACCTTCCACCATGGAAATAAAGTTAGGTATAACCCTTTCACCCCAAGAATGTTCCACTGTCACTCCTTTGGTCACATTGATTCCATAGCGAACTTGCCCAGGGCTGAAACCCATTGGCAAGACAGTTGGGAGGAGAAGGAGGGACATAAGAAGGCTTGAGTCTAACATAGACATCCTGACCTTGAACTATGAATGACAGTCATGGAGGAGAGAACATGGAAAGACACAGCATATGAGTTCCTTGGGAACTTTAATACCATCATCAGGTGTGCAATGTTCATCAACAATGGTGAGAAAGACTGTGACAAGAATTAAACTGATATTCCCACTTTTAAGCCTATTCCACTGGCTACTGGGACTTATAAGGATTTAGGAAATTTTGTGAATTTCGTGAAGTATCATTCTCAAATCACTGAGCTTCCACCAGGACATTTTAGAACGGCACATTGGCACATTGGCTCTTGTAACTTGACTATTGAAAGACTGTAGGAGGCTGAATGCCTTCAGATCCCTAATCCCAGGAATACACACAGGAAAGAGAAGGCAGGCCAAGAAGC